ATCAACGTCTACCTGTGAATTAAGCTTTGCAGAGAGGCCTGCTGGCCACACAAAACACTGGCTCTTGCTCCAGAGAGAAGCTTCTCCTAAGGTGAGGAGAGTAAGGTCCACATGGGAGGCCACGGGACCCTCGTCCGCCCCATCTAGTCCCTCCACCCCAGCTCCACAGCCAGCGAAGCTCTGCAGACTCTCCCCACCTCCTCTTAGAGATGAAAGGTCTGGGGAGCTCTGCCACCCCTGCTCACCTAAGAGTTCCCAGATTTGACCATGAACTCCCTTATTTCTGGGAAACACTCTGGAGCATTCTCTGGCATCCCAGAGGTAGGTCACAGTTGGGGATCAATTACAGAGGGTCTGTGCATGGTGGGGAGCCCAAGGACTAGCTTTGGAGCCAAGGGCTCCCAGCCCAGTCCTGCCGCTAACCAGAAGGGGACCGTAGCCAGTCCCCTAGGAGAGGACAGTTCCTGTTCCCTTCATGAACGCAAACCTCAGCCCTCAGGAATTACCAGTGGGAAGACAGGCCACTTCTTTGTCTGCCTCAGAGGATTGAGACCAATTTATGGAGAAACCGAGAGATGGATGTCCTCACAAGCCCATTTTCCAGATGAAAAGCTGAGGCCCAGTGAGGGGAATGGCCACATAGGGACACTGGATAGCCTGGGAGTTCGGACCAAGGATCCTACATCCCCTCCACCGCAGACCCCACCCAGGCTGGCCGAGCTGCTGCACAGGAAAGTATGGGTGACCACCCGATCCCAGCAGCTGCTCTCGCTGAGCTGGGACCATGTGCCTGAGACTCGCCTTTCCACATTTCAACCCTGCTTGTGGGGCTCCACACCAGCAGAGAACGTGCTTATTCACCGTGTGTTCCCAGACTCTGAAACAGAGCACTTCACACTTATTGAATAAATACATGGATGAATCAGTGCCATCCCCCCAGTAGCCCCTTTCAGTAAGTACTCTTTTTTTTTTAAGACAGTTTTGATCTTGTTGCCCATTCTTGAGTGCAATAGCACCACAACCTACACCTCCCGAGTTCAAGTGATTCTCCTGCCTCAGCCTCCTGAGTAGCTGGGATTACAGGTATGCGCCACCACACCTGGCTAATTTTGTACTTTTAGTAGAGATGAGGTTTCTCCATGTTGGTCAGGCTGGTATCGAACTCCCAACCTCAGGTGATCCACCTGCCTCAGCCTCCCAAAGTACTGGAATTGCAGGTGTGAGCCACCGCGCCCGGCCGGATACTCTTATTTGACAGAGGAGGAACCTGAGCCACAAAGAAGTCTTGGGTTCCTTCACTCTTTCACTCATTCATGCATCCAGCACCCCTGCTGCATGCAGACACCTGGAATATGACACTGAACCCCAGAAACCATCCCTGTCCTGAAAGCGCACAGCCCAATAGTGGGGACAGCATCTCACCCACAGCCAGCAGTGGAAGCACCAACCTGGGTCCCAGCTTCAGTGGCCCGGTGCCTCCTCAAAAGATAGTTAAGTCGCCGGGCACAGTGGCTCACACCTGTAATCCCAGCTTTTTGGGAGGCCTAGGTGGGTGAATCGCCTGAGGTCAGGAGTTTGAGAGCAGCCTGGCAAACAACATGGTGAAACCCAGTCTCTACTAAAAAAAAAAAAAAAAAAAAAAAAAAAAAAAAAAAAAAAAAAATCAGCCAGGTGTGATAGCATGTACCTGTAATCCCAGCTACTCAGGAGGCTGAGGCAGGAGAATCGCTTGAACCAGGAGGCGGATGTTGCAGTGAGCTGAGATTGCACCACTGCACTCCAGCTTGGGCAAAAGAGTGAGACTCCGTCTCAAAAAAAAAAAAAAAAAATCTTAAATAAAACAAAAATTTTCTTTCTTTCTTTATTTTTTAGACAGGGTCTCACTCTGTCATCCTGGCTCCAGCCTCGTGGCTTACCATGTTGCCCAGGCTACTCTTGAACTCCTGGGCTCACATGATCCTTTGACCCTGGCCTCCCAAAGTGCTGGAATTACAGGCTTGAGCCACCATGCCTGGCCTTAAGTAACATTTAATAAGAGTTTTCTTTAAGTCATATGGAGACAGACAGAACCGGAAGACTGGCGGTGGCCCTTCTCCCCACTGCTCTTCTCCCCCCCTGCCTGGCTTGGATTTGCTCTTTCTGGTCCCTTGAACATGCAAGTCTCTGCCTGCGTCCCTACTTCAGCCCGCTTAACTCTCCAATGAGAAAGACGTCCAAATGCACCTACAGTGTATTCTCCCATCTTCCTTTTACCTCCCTTGCCTTTGATTATTATATTTTTAAGTCATGGAGGTCTCTTTTGTCTTTCTTTACCTTTGCAACCAGCCCCTTCAAAGCCAGTGCTGTCTTTGGGCCAATTTTTTTCTCATCTGGGGTGCAGAGGGGAGTGATGGAGAGACTGCTAGTTGGGCCAAGAGAGGACTGTGGCCAGTAGGCAGAGCCACAAGGCTAGGTTGGCCCTGTCTTGGTTGCCTTAAAGCTTTATTAGAAAACAATTCCCAGAGAGCCATCAGTGTGTGGAAGGCACACCAGGGAACTTTGCAAACAAACTCAGTAAGGAAAATGAATCAGCAGATCCCAGACCAGGTCCCAGGCAGCCAGCGTTTGCAGCTAAAAGGCGGAAGCGTGACCTTTCGAACAGCACTCACCAGCTCCCGGGGCCGGTGCCAGGCATCCCCAGACTGAGAAAACAGGCCTTGCCTTTCAGGAACCCGTGGTCCTCTAGAGAAACCCCAAGGACACAGGTATTCACACCCCTGAGGGACCTGGGAGGCTGTGCCCAGGCACCGAGCGGCTCTGGGTTTCCAAATTTCAGCTGCACTGTGACCGGAGCACACCCGGAGCCTCTGTGAGCCCGTCTTTGCTTGCGGTCTCTGTCTGGGTCCCCACCCCCCACCCCTTTGACGACCCTCTCCTTTATTTTCCCTTAGGGCCCCTTCCTTTTGCCCTCCTGTCCCTCCCCTCCTGTGGAGGTTTCGGCTATGAAAACCTTCTACCCCATGTGCTGGCCGACCTCTACTGAGCTGCAAGAGAGTCTCTCCTGAGGTCCCAGAGTCCCTGGGGTGGACAAGAGCAGCCCCTTCCTGGAAGGGAAAGCGCAACCCCAACAGGCCGTGGGAAGAAAGTGTGGCCAACCCCATTCCACAGAAGAGGAGGCTCCAGGTAATTCTGGGAGCCACTCGCTGGTGTCCCCTCGCTGGGTAGGGGCGCCTGGCTCAGAGGCCTCGAGAAAAGGAGGACAGATCCTAAAGCGGACAGCAAGCGACGTCCAGCTGGTTCTCCCTTTCCGTGACTGCTTCAAAGCTCTTCCAAACACGAACTTTTCCCCACAAATCGCTTCATGTCTCCCCCCGCACCCCGCCCTGGGCCCCGGGACCTGCGCTTCTTGGCCCCCGAGCTGGGCCTGCTGCATCCCCGGCCAAGTCCTAGAAGCCAGGTCCAGGGTCCGCTCAGGCGCTCGGTCCCCGCAGGACCGGGTTCCAGAGGCCCAGGGCGGAGCTCTGGGACCGAATGGGCGGGGCTCTCGGACAGAATGGGCGGGGCTCTCGGACAGAATGGGCGGGGCCTGCGGCAGGCGGGCGGGGCTGCGGCTCCCTCTTCCCCGTGTGACTTCACCAGCCACGCCCACGCCCTCCACCCGCCTCCCGCCTGCCCAGCTCCAGGCTGCTGCTGAGCCTCCACTCGCGCGGGTATAGCTGGCGTGCCCAGGCCAGCCGAGTCCGTTTTCCGTACCGGGGTGAGCCCATCCGTCCGTCCTAACGCTGGTCCGGTGGCAAGAATTAAGTCTGCACCCCGCAGGTACAGTCGTGCTCCCTCGGCCCCACCAAAACCTCGCCGCGCGGGCGCCCGAGCCCAGGACGTGCACACCTCCGACCCAGGGTCCCGGGTCCCAACCCTGGACTGGGGTCGGCGGCGCTCGGTGACGGGCTCTGTGCGCTCGGGAGGCGGGGCGAGACGGGGCTTGGAGGCCCAGGTGGGGAAACTGAGGCCCCAGAGGAAGAGGAAGAGGGCTTGCCGGACACTCCCAAGTGAGCAGCGGCCTAACCCCCAGGACCCCGGCCCTCCGCTCACTGTGGCCGGGGCTACGCCCAGCGCTTTACAGCCGTTCCCGCGCACCCTCCACCGCGCCGGGTGCCGTCCCCCATCCACTGAGGCTGGGGGCAGGGGATGACTGGCCCAAGGTCACCGACAGCGGGTTGAGGCGCGTTCCCACCGTTCCCTGGAGAACCCCGGTCCAGCCTCCCAGAGAAGTGGACAGCGGCCACCTCACTCCTTTCCAGGAATCCTGGGCGCCCCTTCCCGCGCATCCTGCGCTGGGACTGCGTGTATTCTCGCTATGCCTCGGGGCTTGATTTCCAGCAAAGGGTGGACTGGCCCATGCGCCTCTCCCTCGTGCTGCTGTCCTGGCCTCTTGGCCGGAGGCCTCGGCTCATGTCCGAGAATGGACCGAGGGAGGGAGACGCGGGAGCCAAGGCAGGGGCCGCCGCCTCCGTGAAGTGGGCCCCAGCCTCTCTCCAAAAGGACAGCTGGAAGCAACAGCTGAGCACCGAGCTGTGCGCCTCCCAAAGCTGCCAGAGCTGACCCTGGGATCCAGCGGGACCTAGCGTCCACATGACCCCGGTGGGCGACGGAGGGGAGGGCAGGGCTGCAGGGCTGGGGTCACCGTCTCCAGATAAAGAGTGTTCCTGGCCTGGCGCGGTGGCTCACACCTGTAATCCTTGCACTTTGGGAGGCCAAGGCGGGGCATCACCTGAAGTCAAGAGTTTGAGACCAGCCTGGCCAACATGGTGAAACTCCGTCTCTACTAAAATACAAAAATTGGCTGGACATGGTGGCTTATGCCTGTAACCCCAGCTACTCAGGAACCTGAGGCAGGAGAATCTCTTGAACCCAAGAGGTGGAGGTCGCAGTGAACAAAGGCGACATCACTGCACTCCAGCCTGGGTGACAAGAGTGAAACTCTGCCTCAAAAAAAAAAAAAAAAGCGTTCCTTTGCAGGTGTTCCCAGGACCTCAGAGACCAGGCTTAGAGCCTGACACCCCTGGGAGGGGAGAGCCTGATCCGCCCAGGCCAGTGGGGCCTCCACAGATGCATCACCAGAGACTGGCCCTGGGTCTGGGGATCTGCCTGTTGGTGGGCACAAGCCTCAGTGTCCTGTGGTGAGTCTGCCCCACGGAGCTCTCCCTGTCTCTGTCCCCACCCAGGACTTCCCCTGTCTCTGAAGGTCAACCCCCAAATCTTGATTTCTTCATAGGATTCCAGGTCCACCAACCCCTCCTGGCTCACCTGTTTCCTAACCCCAGCCCCAGCAGGACCCAACTAGTGTCGCTTGCTTCTGTATTCTGCCTTGTACTGGCCTCCTGGCCTTTGACTTGCTCTTTTCTCTGCCTGGACCATCCATCAGCCCATGTTGATAGGGAATCCCTGTTTTGCTCCCAAATTCACCCTCTGTGTCTGTCCTTCCACGAAGCTCGTGGGGCTGCCCCTCACCCTGCTGCTTGTGTGTGGGGCCTGACATCAAGAATATGCACTCCCTAGGAATGAATGCCTGCCTGCCAGGCCCTGTGACACATGCCAGAAATACCAGGAGGCTTTGTCCTTTGAAGTCAGCCAGACCTACAGAATCACAGGGGACCTGCCTTCCTAATGCACCGTGGGAGACGTTCACTCCCAATGATGTGCATAAGGTGTGTTTTCAGCCTCTGGAGCAGAGTGGGTCAACAGATTTTTTTTCTTCCCAGGGTGTGTGTTGAAAACGGGCTACCGGTCTCCTATGGTTCCTATTACCTCCCCTGCCCAGAGATCTTGTAAGTGTGGGTGGGGCTAGGAGAACTGGGAGCCCTGTGGGCTGCTCACAGTTGGGGAGACAGGAGAGTATTTAAGTTCACTTCATCTGCCGCTTCCTGGTTCATATTTCTGAGAAATGCAACGGTATTTAGGTAATTTAAGGGCTGTGACAAACATGAAGTGAAATTCCCGTTTCGGTCTTCAGCATCCTTGCAGCCCCCTGCATGGCCTGATCTTCTACGTGTTGCACAGCTCTGAGCCTCACTTGCTGTGTCTGTAAAATGGGATGGTAGCAGCCCCTCCCTGGCCGCTGGGAACATGGTGTGCAGTGATGCCGGTAAATAGCCTGCTGCTGCTCCCAGGGAACAGCGGGTGCGCGATGCTTTTAGGGCTTCACCTTGTTGCTCACTTTTGTGTTCTGTGGATTCAAGGAACAAATGAACATGTGACCAGAGTCCTCCTCACCTGAGGAGTCTGACTTTTTTTTTTTTTTAAGTCTCACTCTATCATCCTGGCTGCAGTGCAGTGGCACGATCTCGACTCGCTGCAGCCCCGCCTCCTCCTTCTCCTGTCTCAGCCTCTGAGTAGCTGGGATTACAGCCACATGCCACCACACCTGGCTAATTTTTGTATCTTCACTTGAGACAGCGTTTCACCATGTTGGCCAGGCCGGTCTCAAATTCCTGACCTCGTGATCCGCCTGCCTTGGCCTCCCAGGGTGCTGGAATTATAGGCATGAGCCTATAATTGAGTCTGACTTTTTAACAGTTAAGACTGAAAAAATGTGTTGGGACAATGTCAGAGGAGCATCTGGACCCATGGTTTTTTGTTTTTCATGACAACTCAAGGAAAGTTAAACATCTGAATCACAGGCCACTAATTAACAGCAAGGAATATTTTATATTGTAAACATAGAATATAGTAAATTAGGAAGCCAGGAAGGAGAAAAGACAAAAGAAAAAGAAAACCCTTTCAGGTTCACCTGTCCAAAACTACACTCCACTTCCAAAGTCCGTTGTTTGCTTTGCCTGTTTGCTCTGCTTTCTAATTGAACAGATTAGGCATTTACATGGTTCTAAATGCCAAATGGCTTCTTGCTATTGATAACAGTTGTGATCATACTGTTTTTGCAGTTTTTGTCCTGTTTTCCCAGAATGAACTTTGTTTTTCAATGTAAGTCCCATCATCTTTTTTAAAAAATGAGATAAGTTCTCACTGTGTTGCCCAGTCTGGTCTCAGACTCCTGGGCTCAAGTGATCCTCCTGCCTCAGCCTCCCAAAGCACTGAGATCACAGACGTGAGCTACCACATCTGTGCGGTCACCATCATCTTATTCCACCCAGGGGCTGACACATAATTTTTGAGCCCCTCTCCCTTTCCCACCACCAATTGTTGGGCATTTAGGTGGCTCTCAACTTCCCAGAGCTCTAAGTTAGTTTGTGATGAGCAGCATAACCCTTTGTCCATTTCAAAGATCATTTTGTTCCCATATGTTCCCTTAGTGGTTGGAGGATGTGGGTAGATTCTGAGCCATCTCATCAGGTTGTTTCCAGATGGACCACAGCACATCCGTCACTCATGGATGTGCCCTGCCTGAGCAGCCCAGCAAGGCCACCCTGAATTACACCTGGGCTACTGCTGGGAATACCAGGAGTTACGAAAACAAAAAGGAACCTAACTTGCCGGCTGAGAGAGGGAAATTGCTATCCTCTTTGGCATAAATTTCATTTATTTATTATTATATTGAGACAGGGTCTTGCTCTGTCGCCCAGGCTGGAGTGCAGTGGCGCAATCTTAGCTCACTGCAACCTCTGCCTCCCGGGTTCAAGCGATTCTCATGCCTCAGCCACCTGAATAGCTGGGATTACAGGTGCACCAGCTAATTCTTGTGTTTTTAGTAGAAACAGCGTTTCATCATGTTGGGCAGGCTGGTCTGAAACTCCTGACCTCAAGTGCTTCGCCCGCCTTGGCCTCCCAAAGTGCTGGGATCACAGGCGTGAACCACCACCCCCGGCCTTAATTTTTTTTTTTTTTAATTCCCTATACCTTCCCATTAATTGAATGTTTTCTTCTGTGCAGTGCTTCCCCCACACCTCCTCTGTTTGGTGCGTTTGTGGGTTCTTTATCATCACCCTTGGCTGAGTATAGCTACAACTTTTTTTCTTTCCAGTTTGTCTATCTTGCGTGGTGTGTGTGTGTGTGTGTGTGTGTGTGTGTGTGTTGGGGGTGGGGGTATAAAGTCTAGCTCTGTCACCCAGGCTGAAGTGCAGTGGCACCATCACAGCTCACTACAGCCTTGACCCCCTGGGGTCAGTGATCCTCACACCTCAGCCTCCTGAGCAGCTGGGACCACAGGTATGCACCACCACACCTCCTAGATAATTTTTTTTATTTTGTTTGTAGAGACAGGGTCTCACTATGTTGCCCAGGCTGGTCTGGAACTCCTGGCCTCAAGGAATCCTCCCAACTCACCTTTGCCGGGATTGCAGGCATGAGCCACCACACCAGCCTGCTTTTGTATTCTTGTGTGTAACTCTTCACTGCAGCTGGAGCGTGTCTGAGCTTGTGGAGAGGAGAGAGGTGCTCACTGCCAGGGAAGTGCAGAAGGCTGGGCTGTTTGGTGCCTCTCCTAACTCCTGACCCCTTTTTGGAATCCCATGGCTTTCTGAGCAGGGCTCTGAAATATGCTTGCTTGTAGGAAACAAGGGCAGAGGGCCGATTTGATGAATTGACTTAAAAAAAAATTGTTGATTCAAGAGTAGCAACTTGGCTGGGTGTGATAGCTTATGCCTGTAATCCTGGCACTTCTTTGAGAGGCCAAGGCTGGTGACTCACTTGAGGTCAGGAGTTTGAGACCAGCCTGGCCAACATGATGAAATCTCATCTCTAATAAAAATACAAAAATTAGGCCGGGCGCGGTGGCTCAAGCCTGTAATCCCAGCACTTTGGAAGGCCGAGGCGGGTGGATCACAAGGTCAAGAGATCGAGACCATCCTGGTCAACATGGTGAAACCCCGTCTCTACCAAAAATACAAAAAATTAGCTGGGCATGGTGGTGTGTGCCTGTAATCCCAGCTACTCAGGAGGCTGAGGCAGGAGAATTGCCTGAACCCAGGAGGTGGAGGTTGCGGTGAGCCGAGATCGCGCCATTGCACTCCAGCCTGGGTAACATGAGTGAAACTCCGTCTCAGAAAAAAAAAAAAAAAAAATACAGAAATTATCAGGGTGTGGTGACGGGCGCCTGTAATCCCAGCTACTTGGGAGGCTGAGACAGGAGAATTACTTGAACTCAGGAGGGAGAGGTTTCAGTGAGCCGAGATTGTGCCACTGCATGCCAGCCAGGGTGACAGAGTTACTGAGACTCCATCTCAAAAAATAAAATAAGTAAGAGTAGCTACTAATCACAAAAGGACAGAAACTTTGATTCCTCTTATGGGAAGTACCTTCCATAGTCAAGTTCACAGAGGCAGAGGTAGGATAATGGTTCCCAGGGGCTGGGGGAGGGGCAATGGCACACTGTTCTTTCATGAGGACCAGGCTTCCTTTTGGGATGATGAGAAAGTTCTGGACACAAATGTTGGTGATGGTTACATGACAATGTGAATGTACTTACTGCCATTGAAATGTACACTTAAAAATGGCTCAAGTAGTAAATCTTGTGTTTTGCACACTTTACCACAAACAAACGAGCATAGCCAGAGGTGGAAGAGTTCAAGGAGGCTTCAGTCACTCCATCATACATGACGTATTGGAACTCACAAAGGGCCAGGCAAGGTGGCTCATGCCTGTAATCCCAGCACTTTGGAGGCCGAGGCAGGCAGATCACTTGAGCTCAGGGGTTCAAGACCAGCCTGGGCAACATGGTAAAACCCCGTCTCTACCAAAAATATTAATACAGAAACATCCGGGTGTGGTGGTGTGCACCTGTGGTCCCAGCTCCTCGGGGGGGCTGGAGTGGGAGGATTGCTTGAGCTCAGGTGGTCAAGGCTGCGGTTAGCCAAGACTGTGCCACTGCACTCCAGCCTGGGCGACACAGAGAGACCCCATCTTAAAAAAAAAAAAAAAGAAAGAAAGAAAAGAAACTTGCAAGGGCCTGGCAGACTGTGTCATCAGTGGGTGGGTCCTTACGAGCTTCTGCCTGGGGACCGTCGGCCTCAGGTCTTTTCTTGCTGCTGCTGGCTGCCCGGCCTTTCCCTTCTTTTTCTGTTTTTGCTTTTTGAGACGGAGTCTTGCTCTGTGGCCAGGCTGGAGTGCAGTGGTGTGATCTTGGCTCACTGCAACCTCCACGTCCTGGCTTCAAGTGATTCTCCTGCCTCAGCCTTCTGAGTAGCTGGGATTATAGGCATGCACCACCATGTCCAGCTAATTTTTGTATTTTTAGTAGAAACGTAGTTTCACCATCTTAGCCAGGATGGTTTCAATCTCTTGACCTCAGGTGATCCACCCACCTTGGCCTCCCAAAGTGCCGGGATTACAGGCGTGAGCCACGAACCCAGCCGGCCTTTCCCTTCTCTGTGCCTGGCTCCCACATGCTGGAAACATTCGAAGTGGATGGCTTTATTGTCCCCATTTTATGGACAAGGAAACTAAAGCTCGCAGGTCAAATGTCTGGCTCCAGGTCCCTGGTCTAGTTGGTGGCAGAGCCAGAGGTGAGTACAGGGGTCTGACCCTGCAGCCCCGCCGCCTCCATAGACCCCCTTCCTTCTTCTCCACTCAGTTTGACCTTGACACTGACCTCACGGGCTGCCTGCCAAGACTTGGCCAGGATGCCTCGCCTTACTGAGCACTTGCTCCATGCTGGACATGGGCCAAGAGCCCCTTACACATCTTGTGTAATTCTCACCACACCGCTAGGGTTAAGGGTCGTTGCCTATTTAGCAGATGCAGAGACGTGGCAGTCGGGGTTCCACTAGAGAAACGGAACCAGTAAGAGGTAGGCAGGTAGACAGGCCAACATACCTAGAAAAATTGACTTATGTGATGGTGAGGCTGGCTAGGAAGCTGAAGCTCAGGCAGGAGCAGATGCCACAGCCCACAGGTGAAAGTAGTCCTTCTTCTTCCTCCTCCTCCTCCTCCTCCCCTCCTCCTCCTCCCC